CCCTGTTGGAGCTTGAAGCCGTTCCCTCTCGTTCTGTCACTAATTACCTGTGAGAAGAGACCAGCACCAACCTCTCTACAGTGTCCTTTCAAGTAGTTGTAGAGAGTGATGAGGTCTCCCCTCAGCCTCCTCTTCCTCATACTAAACAGCCCCAGCTCCTTCAGCCGCTCTTCATATGATTTGTCTTCTAGCCCCCTCACCAGCTTCGTTGCCCTCCTCTGCACTCGCTCCAGCACCTCCAGATCTCTCTTGGATTGAGGTGCCCAAAACTGGACACAACACTCGAGGTGTGGCCTCACCAGTGCCGAGTCCAGGGGCACAATCACCTCCCTACTTCTGCTGGTCACACTATTTCTAATACAAGCCATTCACATTCCCTAAATCCCTCAGCAGGACCCGGAGGTGTCAGGTAGGAGGAAGAGCATCTCCCTCCCTCCCTCCCCGGTGACAAACGTCACCACGTGGCCGTTCCCCCTAATCCCAGCAAATCTCCCCACTTCCAAGTTCCTCACCCATCAAATTTCCCCCCCCAATTTATTGACCGTGTCCTCCAAAGGTAGAAAAGCTTGAAAAAGCAACAGAATTCAGGCTGTTGGTGCCACAGGACCAAAACCAGTTGGTTTCCCCAGCTGACCAGACAAGGGTAACTCCATCAACGAGCTTTCTCCGTCACTGGTACTCACCGACCCGTCCCCAGTAAGAAGGAGGTTTAAGGAGGCTCCTGGCACCTGGGGGGAAGCTGCACAACGTGCCCGAGTCACCTTTGCAAAAAAAGGAAAGGAGGAAACATCTGGATTTTGAGGAGAAAGGAGCAGCAGGCCGAGGAGGAGGTACCCGTTCCTCCGTGTCGCTGGAAACAAGTCGTGGAGACACTGAAACTGGAGGAACAGTCAACACACACCTTCCCTCCTAAAAACACCCTTTACTTCTCCCCTTCCCAAAAGCTCCTGCAGCACTCGAAAGCCAAAAAGGAGGAGGAAGAAGGAGCCTGACACCCTGCACCCCCACGACCCTGCCTTCTGATGGAGCCAGGTAGAGAAGAGACCCAGAGCTTTCCAATGAGACAGGTATTTATTTAGTTCAAGCGCTAAGGATTTGTTTTTTTTTTCTTTGTCGTCATCGTCGTTTCATATTATCAAACAGAGCTGAGGTACCAGTGACATTCCAACATGAAGAAAAGGAACCTTTTTTTTTTTTTTTTTTTTTTTCCCCCCTTATACAATTTCTTCAACTACTTGTTATCAAGACAAAAAGTGAGTCATGGAATAGCCGCGGAACGTACTGTACAACAATCAAGCCCGAGTGGGGAGGAGAAAAGAAACAGAGCAGAAACCTTCACTGTTTTACAAAATCAGCATTAAAAAAACAAAATAAAAGGCTGTTCCCAGTTGTTGGTTCTACTGGCCGTGGCGATGGAGCAAGAAACAAAAAAGCAAAACCAAAAAACCCAAGAGATGGCGCGAGGAATGAGGGTGCAAACAGAATTAAGACGGTGGTGGCTCCTGTGCTGGCTTTGGAAATGTGTGTTTGTTGGGTTGTTTTTTCCTCTGGAAAACTAGGATTAGGAAAGGATGGAGTCACGTTAAGCACTGACCATCAGCAAGGACACACTTGAAAACATACCTGGCTGTTCCGGGCGGACCTGGGGAGACCCTTCCTGGGGGATAAAAGCCAAACAACAGATGACTGGTGCCTTGTTCCTGCAGCCCCCCCCAACAGAGCTGGTGGATAAGCTCATTTTTAGACCTTTTTTTTTGGTGGTGTTGTTTTAAAAGAGTAAATTAGAAAGGGGCCCATGGCACAAACCTGCTCCCGGCCGCGCAGCCGCTCGCTCTCCCCAAGAGCAGCCGAGCTGCTCGTCCGCCGGCGCCCGCACGTGCTCCTTGCAAATCCAGTGCTTAAAGCTTGTTAACTAAGGGAAAGGCAAGAGGTTTGGTTATATCAGAAGCCAAATTAATAATAATAATCGTAATAATAATCGTAATAATGATAATTTTTTAAAAAAAGGATGCGCTCGTGGAAAACAGCCAAGTGACGACCAACACAAACTGCATGAAGAACCAAAAGGGAAAATAAAAAACCCAAAATCAACACAACCCCGAAATGAAAAAGCAGGAAAATGGACCGTTTTTTGCACAGTTAAGAAGAGTACAATACAGGAAAAGTAGCCAGGTTTCCTTCCCCCCAAAGAGTTTTCTTTTTTTTAAATAAAGAATGATCCTTTGTCACATATCATTGATGTTTTATTTCAAGACATGCCACGTCAAAAAAAAAAAAAAAAGAGAAAAAAAAAAGAGAAAACTCGCTTTTAATATTGCATTATAAAAGCACTTTACATCTCGTTCTGCCTTTTTTTAAGTTATTATTAATTATCGGTTGTGCAGAGTTGCTCTAAACCCCAGGGCAGGGCACGAGTCTAAAATTCCTTCCAGGAATGAAGAATTCCCAATGTTTTACAGCCCCTTTTCCCTGGTGGAAGTGGTTGGTGGTGAGGATGATTCCCTTTCTCTTCCCCGACCCACCCCGGGGTGGTTGTTTGAAGATGGTTAAAGGGGCAGAAGAGAACCAAGGAGGAGCCTGAAAAATTCACTTTACAATCGTTCCTCGAAGTAGGAATCGCGCCACAGACTCTCAAGAATTCCTTCCTGCACTGTTAGTTTAACTCAGCCAGAGCCTCCCAGCAAACAAATGTATTTACAATTGTGTTAATTAACTTACACAGCAACTTCACAATGACTAGTAAAGATTAAAAAGGGTGCACTTTCTCTAGTGTGTTCCCATTCCGTGTTTTCTCGGGTCGCTACGTCTCGCAACATCGGCCAAAGCTCTAAACAGATTTTCTCCTCAGCCAAAACCTGAACACTCCCCTCCCCCCCACACTTCCCAAAAATAATAATAATTATTGAAAATAGTACAAAAGAAAAAAAAAATTAAGCAAAGAAATAAACCACAAAGAAAACTGGTTAATTGTAAGCCTAGTTAAATAGAAAACTGAATTACTAGTTCTTTAACCAAACTATACAGCTCTAGGGAACCAAACTAAACCAAGTTGGAAGACTGAACATAAAAAAAAAACCAAAACTGCTAAAAAATAAAGGCATAAATCTGCATAATCATAAATTGGTTTCCATCCTATTCAACTCCCTTCCTTTCCCATCTAAGGTCTCTCGACTAGATTTCTGGATGATCAAAGGAAACACCCCTTCCCCACTCCACCTACGACCCTGCTATGGAAAAGGGGGTGTGATACCCCCCCCCCCCC